CGGTTTTACGTGATTCCGTTATACTTAGCGAGCCGGTATTTGTTTGCATGACGACATTTGGCGATGATTTCACTTCGCTTGTTGAGGGTTTTGGTCTTGTCAGCAGTGAGTATACGCACCTTCTCCGTGGTGCAAAGGCAACATCTCTTTGTTGCGGGGTTGTAGGAGCTGGCCTTGTGCTTGATTCTCCAGGACAGGTGATACTCTTTTTTGTCGTTTTTCTTTTTCCAGAGGTGTTTGGAGAGCTCCGTATTAGTGCGGTACTTTTCGTGGCGGAAGGACATCGTGTGGTTGTTGTATCTTGTTTTGAACGTTGTCTCTGCTGAGCCGATGTATGTCCTGAGCTCATCCTGGCTGGTGACGTGTGCTTCATAGATGATGTGAGAGGCCTGGCAACGTCCTTCCATGGGGCATTCCTGCTTTTTCCTACAATTACAAGGTTTTTCAGGAGGTTCTTGTATCAGTTGCCGCTTGTTGTGCCCACTGATAATCGCTGCGATGTTGGGCATACATGAATAGCTAACCTTCACGTTATGTCGGTTGAAGATCTTTTTCAGGGGGGTGTTTTTGAAATGCCGGTCGATCATTGTGAGGAAGGCAGCAGCGACGTTTGTTCTCACGTTACGGCTGAAAGGGGGGTTGAACCATGTTATATTTCTTTTTCGGTTTCGCTTTCTGTTTTTCTGTGCTGGTTGCCCCATGTACTCAATACCTTCCGCGTATCCACTGGCCAATAATGCGTTGTTGTACATAGGCGCAGCTTCGTTAAATGCTTCCTCACTTGATGAGTTGGTTGACACGCGTCGGCTTATTCCTGCTGGCAGTTGCTTTATTATGGACGGTGGGTGGTTTGAGTGAGTGTTGATGTACTGCGGTGTGTCGCCTGGCTTTCGGTGTGGCATGTATCCTCCGGTTGACAGGTTGAACGTCACGTCGAGGAAATTTACCACTTTTAGGTTGGTGTCAATCGTTACCTTTAGTCCATGCCCTGCAAACACCGCCGTCAAACTCTTCCGTATGCGCTCTGCCGCGCTGCCGGTGGTGTTTCTCAGCACAGCCAAGCCGTCGTCCCTGTACAGGCCGATCTGCGCTCTGCCGACGTGGGCTGTTAGTTCTTGGAGCATATATACGCCAACCAGCTCACACACTTCCGCGCCATCGAACGAGCCCATGGTGACATCGAACGTGCTGGCGTTGTTCTTCTTCACCCAAGGTTGGCCGTCTTTGAACAACACTGATTTTCGTGCGTGCATGACAATCTCCCTTTCCCCGTCCTCGATGTTAGTGTACGTGGACGCAAAATCCAGGGCCTTCGCGAGGAGTGCCTCTGTGATGGAGGGATAATACTCTACAACGTCAAAGCATATGAATGTGTGCTGTTGCTTGTCCTGGATGTTTTCGTACCACTCGATGACTGATGCCGTGCTCCTCCAAAGGTTGACGTCCGTTGCCGACCTGACGGCTCTCACAATTCTGTCCAGTATGGATTTACTCACGACTCCAAGTTCAGACTTTGCGGGGTTGATAAGCCTGCACGGGAGGTTGTTGGCGAAGCGATCCTTGTGGTCCTTCAAACTCACAAATGCCTCTGACTTTGCCATCGCGTCGACCCGGTCACTGATATTCAGGCGCTCCGCCAACTGCTGTGCTTCTTGATTAATATCGGTGTATGTTGTGTCCGGTGCTTGTCCGGTGCTTGCGGTGGACGGGACCACTTCCCCCTATATATATATATATATATATACTCAATCTGCGGACAGCATGCTGTTTCGTTCTTTTTGAACTCATCAGCGCAGCACAGAGAAAATGAGGCCGAACCTGATAGCAATGGAAATAAAAATTTCCAATCAGGCCCGAACGTACCTTGCCAGAGTGCTCAAACTGACAAGTCAGTGAGCTCTGCATAACGCAAACAGCAAAGGCACTACCCCACGCAAGAGTGCTCAACTGCTACAAGAGCAGGAGCGAAATACTCAATCTGCGGACAGCATGCTGTTTCGTTCTTTTTGAACTCATCAGCGCAGCACAGAGAAAATGAGGCCGAACCTGTATATATATATCTCTCTCTCTCTCTCTCTCTCTCTCTCTCTCTCTCTCTCTCTCTCTCTCTCTTTACTTGGAGTGACCTTTGACTCGAGGCTGTCATTCAGCACTGATCTCCGGAAGGTTGCCGCTCGAGCCAAACAACGCCGGGGCTAGCAGTGCTCAAGCTCACTTCCTAGCCGTGGAATGTCTCAGTACTCCTTGTCAGTCTGGCGCTACCTTGTGCACGTCTGTTTGTTCAAAAACCTGGTTTAGTTGGTGGACTCTAGTGTATAACTTACTTGTGCCCCACCGTTTTTCCTTGTTTGAATTAAATATTACTTTCCTTGGCTGACCAGCTGTGAAGAAATCGCGGATAATTGTTCTGAATTTACACGTTTCGCAGCGAACTCGCCGGAAATTGATGTTTTTATTGCGTGCATGTAACTGTACAAATCATGTACATACATGTACATCGGTTTCACCATCGGTCAGCCAACACTGATCCTGATGCCCGCGCCGACCTGCGGGTGAAGGGATTCTGGACCGATAGCCGCAAC